AAGTTCTAACACAAGTATATGAGAGTGGTTCCAAAGTTGAGGAACTCAAGGGCAGACGAAAAGCATTTGTTTTCGATTGACTTGCACTGAGAGGTTGGAATTTATGTTCAGCAGGTATGTTAAAAATAGTCTAAACTCAAAATACGTATTGAAAACATGCACATTGTCAATATGTAACGATGAAGAAAATCCATAATAAAAAAGAGTTTTAAAATCATAACAAATTATATAACTAGGATATTTTGATACTTATATTGGGTAGAAGATTATTCAAATCAAAAAATCATCATTTCCATGTAAATTTGAATTTTGGTGGGGCTTGAGCCTTCAGTGCCCCCATTCCTTATCATATGACCTCATCTGGCTGTAAACAGCATACAAATATTCCGTACTTCGTGTTTTTATTTTTTTTTTTTCGAAACTATAGCTAGAATCTTTTGATATGGTCTAATTTCTGTTGGATGTACATCACGTGCATATTTGCATTGCGAAATTTGAAACATAAAAAATCTGATTTTTCGATGCTACTTGTTTTTAAATCTGCCGCTTTTGAAGCTGTACTCTCTTTTGGGTAAAACTGCAGCTAATTATCGTTACAGGAATGAGTGTAAATACCATTCGACGATATCCATATTCTATAATTCAAATGGAAATTACATTCAATTATTTGTACTTAAATTCAACTCTAGACTGTCAATGACCCACAGTGAACCGCCAAGTAGAAATGCTCATGTTATGCTCCCCTTTGTTTGGCATGCAGCATCAACATTAATTGAATAAACATGCATAGGGTTATGGCAATTTACTTCAATCAAAGTCCACAATTAATTAACTTAAACTCACAATAAAAATTAACGAATATTCAAATAGAGCATATGAAGTGGATGGGCATTGTCCGATGACAAAACTCCATCATTTGAAGTCTGAATATTCTTTCATGAGTCTAAGTAGTCTTGTCGTATACGTAAAAAAAAAACATTTTAAGACTACATATTATCAAGTAAGCAAGGGCTGTAGTCGGAAAAAACCATGTGATAACGTACACCACAATATTTTAAAGTAAAGTTTAAAAAACTTGACACTTTTATGGATGTTTTACATGTAAGCAATATATTTATTTTCTGTTTGTCTTTTATTGTTTTGTTAAATAATTTAATGCTGTGATAACATGAAATATAAAAATTAAAATGTATTTTTGTAGATCTCCCTGAAGATGCAATGTAACCCATTGCGAAATATCGGATTTTAATAAAGAAAAAACCCAGACCTAAAGCTCAAAGAAAAATTTATTTATAGTAAAGTTTAATAGTCATTCCAAATTTCGAGTTTTTAATTGTTTGGAACAATATGTTTTTGGTCTACTAGATTCTGGAAATATTGTTCTTAGTCGTGTAATAAAGTTAGTACCAAATTAAAGGTCAGGAGTACTTTTTTGTAAATTTGATTTCGTGGTTTCATTGAATTTTTGGTATTATTAAATATTTTACGATAATCTTGAAAAATTATAAATTTCTATTCTGACTCTGATCATTGGGCTAACAAAGCTAGATCGACTTATATCGTTGAGATATATTGATCTGTATACTACGTGGAAGTCAGTATCAAAAGTTCTCCGTCTTTTCTATTGTTTGTTTTTAAAAACAACGGTTTCCTTGATATGGCCTTGAGTTTAACAAGCTGTTTTTACATTTTTTTATTAGAAAACCCTTAAAAATTGCAGACAAAGTCTTTATTATGCAGCCCAGAAGGGGACTTCAGAAATGTTTTCTCCAAGTTCTACATTTTATAAAATGTGCTAGAAGAGAGCTGAAGGGTCACTATAGATTAGACAATAGTCAGCTTTTTGGAAAAAACTTGTACAAAAAATACTAAAATTGGTATCGACTGGAGTTTTAATCTTGGTATAAAGATCACTTTACGTATGAAGCTTTTTCCATGAGGAGGTGAAATTGAAAATTGACGGTGTAAGATGTATGAAAAATAATAAATGGCATTACATTTCTAATACAAGTTTAGTGCAGAAAAAATAGCTAAAATATTCACTAATATAAAGATCGCTGTGAATGTGTAGCCTTAAGATAAGAAGGTGGAAAGGGAAATTCGCACTATATAGTACAAAATGTCTTTCAAAACACCAGCAAATTAAGTAAAGTTTTTCAAACATAATATAACAAATTATGCGATCTCGATAATTTTATTTAATATATATTTTATTATTTTCTTTAAAAGCAAGCTTTAAACGTGAAGATTACGGGCCAGAATTGCAGAGAACGCTGTTTAAAAACAATTGGAAAATATTTTTTTTTTTTTTAATACTCGCATCTCCTGCCCCTTAGTTTAAAATCCATTGAAACCTGCACGATGTTCTTCTGGAAAAAAAGCGTCGGCTCAATGCAGAGCCAAAATCAAACCAATTTTATTTGTAATTAAAAACAAGTAAAAAAGCAGCTAATTTTAATACCCTCAATCATTTGGAAAAAACTTGAAAATTTTCAAAAAAAAAACTTCCGGAAACTACCACTTTAATGAATGGCTGTAGTACCCATTGCGAACTTCAAATACCAAATTTAAAACAATTCTCGTGAATAATGTCGCTAAATTCGTCAAAATATCGAATATCGCGATGTACCGTCATATAGGGGATATACGATACCGTTATATGGTGGATATACGATATACTTACATGCGAATTTTTTTGTCATAGGCTGTAGTACCCATTAAAAACTTTTAATATGAAATTCGTAACAATTCCCATGAATGTCGCACAAATCATAAAAATACCGAGTATTGGGAGGTACCGTCAAATGGGGGTTGTACGAAGACGTAGACCAGCATACAAAAAATTTTGTCATAGGATGTAACAGCTATTACGAGCTTCAAATACGAAATTTGAAATAATTCCGATAAATAATTTCGCTAAAATCATGAAAATACCGAATATCGGGGTTATACGAAGACGTGGACCTGTATACAAAAATTTTTGTCATAGGCTGTAGTACCCATTACGAACTTTAAATATGAAATTTGAAATAATTCCGGTAAATACTGTCGCTAAAATCATGAAAATGCCGAATATCGGGAGGTACCGTTAAATGGGGGAAAGACGAAGACGTGGACCTGCATACAAAAATTTTTGTCATAGGCTGTAGTACCCATTACGAACTTTAAATATGAAATTTGAAATAGTTCCGGTAAATAAAAAATCATGAAAATGCCGAATATCGGGAGGTACCGTTATATGGGGCTATAAGTAAACGTGCTGGTAAACTATGCATGTATGCAACATTTTAGCCTTCTATCTCAATTAGTTCGAGAGATAGCATGATTACAACAGACAGACAGACAGACGGGCATCGCAAGATCGTCTTAGAATTTTACGCTGATCCAGAATATATATACTTTGTAGGGTCTTTTATAAATATTTCGAGGAGTTACAAACGGAATGACATAGTTAATACACACTCCATAGAATGATGGAGGGTATAAACAATTGGAACGTGTATATCGAATGCAGCAAAAAGAATAATTCGATAAATGCACCAATCTCCAAAAAATCAAACATTGTCGAACGTATTGAGATATGAACGTTTAGATCCATAATGCTTTTTATATAAATATCGACTTTGGATCATACGATCGATTTAGATATAGCTGCGGATTTGGATCGATACGTGAAAAATAGTTTTTGAGTTATAATGCTCTTTGAGTAAACGAGTGATAGCATGAATTCTTCGTAACATATTTCGACTTAAATTAATAGAGACGATCGGAGAAATGCGTATTGAAAAACACATGGTAATGAAGAAGGGTTAACTAAGCTTTTAATGCGGCACAGTATACAAGGAAATTGTAGACACGCGTCAATTCTGTCTTTTGATTTTCTACGAGGGTTGTTAATTAGGATGGGGTGTTCAAGAGAGGTTATTGCGATTTACGATTTGTGTTACGAAAAATCCCTTCATAATATAATTCATACATCATACAACACATATCAATGATGTTAAACTCGTCTTTGAGCTAACATATTTTATCATCCACCCTCTTTTTCGCCTTCTGTCGCATCCATTTGGGAGTCTATTTTCCTTAACATGTCAATTATTCCATTTGGATTGGAAATCAACATTTTTAAATATACGAACCTCACTTCAATCAACCCTGTTTAATTAACGCACAAACAGAGCCACCACGAATATTGGCAAATTCAACTGCAGGAGCAGAAACGGCACTCACACACATCCAATTTAAAATGTGATTTCTTCATTTTAACAGCCAACCCTTAGTTTAACAGAACTCAAAATAGGGTGAATTTTTAACACTTACCGTGACTGTTAATGTTAAAATAAAACATAGAATGTTAACTAACATACGATAGCCGTGACAGAACCGGTATTTGGTTTCAATGCTCCATTGTTGTAACCCATGCAATGGAAAAATGTCAGACAATAGAAACAATTATTAAGAAAGTATGGAAATCCAATAAGTTTGTAAATATTTTGTAATACACGCTCCCAAATACAAACGTACTGCTTTCAAAATAATGGTTCACATTTTGAGGAAAAAGGAACGATTTCCCACCCCTTCTGCGCTCACCTCCCCTGGAAGGGGTTCCGTTCCTAATTTACATTTAAATGTGATTTTAATATGTACATCTTATTGGAAATTCAAATGACATAACTGTTGCACATTCACTGGCTGAGATGATGTGGGGCAATTCACCTCAAAACAGAGAGCCATTTTCTCTCACGAGTCGGACATGTGATGGTCATGTTCTCTCACCAACTGTCATTTCTCTCTTTGTTTATGTTCTCCATCCAAACTTCACCTCATGCCACAGACATTCGCCAGTGAGGCGCTCTTTCTCTGTCGCTCTCTGTGCAGAGCCATCACAGCTAACTACCACAACATTTGTTCGAGTATACCGACAAAAACATCAACTCCATCGGAATAGAGCACCAGAGTTGAGTTTGCCATATAAAAAGAGTACGTAACGGTCAGATGAGTTTAGTTGTCGTGTTACTATTGAAATGAACGGTCGTCGCGAGAAGAGTCCGCTGTTAAATGAAAATATTTTAGGTTTTTTCATGGCATCAAAACCAAAACATTAAGAAAATTGTTGACTTTTTGTACATGAACGAGCATATGTTTGGCGAATTTGAGTGAAAACACCAACAGTGCACCAGGCCATCAAGTGGACAAATCATCTGCGAAATGTTTTCCAGTATGTCCAAATAAATTTACTTCCAGAATTAAGTAAAAAAGTGGTACTGAAGCTGGTTCGGTTCGATTTATTTTTGTGTATTTATTCAAATTGTTTGCCTTTGTGATGAGTGCGAGTTGTGAGTACTCCGTACTCCCGCGACGAAAAATAAGCTCTCGTGTTTTCGTTGACTTCGTACGGTTAATGTTTTGTGTCAACTCGTTTTATTGAAATTTGTTTGAAAAGAAAGAAAAAAAACAGAATTGTGCATGTGTTTAATGTGTTCTAGAGGGATTCGGTGAACGTTTAATCCCGACAAGAGAACACGTTACATCGAAGTGAATAGAATGGAAAATGCATAGAAATGATTTTGCAAACACGCATCGGACAAAATAGAAATTGAAGGAGAAGCTGTCGCAACACAATCGAAGTGGTTAAATACTGTACTCGTCCAGTTCTCGACCAGCAAGAAGTGAGTTATCAGCCTTTTTTAACCCTTGCATTAAATTTTATAATACGGGGTCGATGCTGTACGAGTTTTCAGTTTAGAGGCTTAACATACGGTTGATTTGTTCGAAATGAATGTTGACTTCATCTGTTGTCAGTAGCGGCGTTTATTTCTGGTTATTGTTGCAAGCAATTTTCAAATCGGCAAATGTAGGTCGCAAACAATAGTCTGCTTTTAGAACCGGGCTTTCGTTTATTTATTGTCTAAGGCAAATTTCCTCATCTTTTGTCGCGAGTGCAAATTCGTGTATATGTGTGTGAGTGCAACTTTGCATGTGTGTGTTAGTAGTCGTAGCAGTGTATTCCCTTGAGTATGGAGTTGTTCATGCAACTCGTTTGAGAACTTTGTACTTTTCTTTCTGTCGAAGCTTTATACGGTTCCTGGTATCGTCGTCTTTCTCATCGTTGTCGCAGCTGTAGGTCTCGTGCATGTTCTGTAACCTACACTCACATCCATCGTGTAGTGTTAGTGAGTAAATCGTTCTGTATTTCCGGTTTATGCAATTTGTTCATTTTGTGTGTTTTTTTTTTTTTTCTTTTCAAAATTCTGTCTTTGATATCCTCTCTGATGTGTGTATTCATTAACGCCGTCATTTCCCACCCCCAACACACACACAAACTGGCACAATATCGCCAAAAAGTGAAAATGCAAACGCTCATGTTGCAAATGACCTTATTGCAATCAAGCGTTTATCTTCTAGCTGAGGACCATTAGCTGTGCTAAAGAGTTTAATCAAACCATGTGGCCCACAGCCATCACAATTAAGTGAATACATGCACATTTCCTTTTAATTGTTCACAACAAATGGAGAATAAATTAAAACCATTCGTCGGAAATGACTGACCTACATTCGCTCCATTCGCAAATCAAAAAGCAAATGTCGTATTAGAGACGAGCTAAATTAGAATAATTAAATGATAATCGTAAGCATACCGACATGTATATATGTACACATGTACTTGTAGTAAAAATTACCAAAAGAAAATATTTCGACATTAGAATTGAAATGAAACTCAAAATTTCCAAAATCCTTCTTGATTTCGGTATTTACATTATGAATATAATGAGAAATAACATATTCCCTTAGTAGACTTTTCTTTTGAATGCCATAAATTCTAAATTTTTGATTGTTGGCTTGAAAAGTGTAAATGATCCCATCATATTTATGAAACCAGATTTCTGGTTGCATTAAAGGTTTAAGGCATGCGATATTCTATCCATTGAAAATTGTGCAAATTCTGCTATAAAGTCATGTAATTTCGATTATATTATCTGAAATCGGAAGCTAATTTTATATTGAACTACGCACTTCGGTGTCCTGTCATATTAATTCCGAATTCGTTCATTTCTTAGCTTAATTAATAAGTATTGATAAACAAGTAAAAAGGGAAGAACTTTTTATACCCTCCACCACTATGTTCATCAAATTAAAATAAACGTAGACCAATATAGCCCATTTTTAATACCAATCAGTCTATATAATATAAACCTTTATGCAACATCTCAAAGCTCTAACTTAAATAATATGTACTGTATCGTAATTTCAACGGACAACCGTCAAATATTTGCAATTTGTTGTAAACGAAATGAAACACTTAATATACCCTCCATTATATGGTAGGAGGTATAAAAATAATTTTTGCTATGACAGAGTGAGAGCTTACTGAAAATGTACGAGTTTTTCTAAATCATAAGAATAAGACTTTTTTAAATAATAAATGGATTGAGAAATTAACTTTTAACGATATCTGCAATCTCTGCAACAGGTTGTAGAAAAGCGCTTACATTTTCCAAAACTAACTATGCTTGAGAATATTTTTATATTTTTATACTTTTAGTACGTTAATTGTATGACAATGTTAGTTTCAAAGAAATCAAGCGTGAAAATAAGTAGCAACAGAAAACAAAAACATTACAAATCATAGCGGAATCTGGGTTTGAAATCTTAAAATGTATTACCACCGAGTACTTGAAATGTAAAATTCAATTGTTTGGAAATAAAGAATAAGTATGTGACAACTATTATAAAATTGACGATTGATTAACTTTTTGTGCATTCTTTGGAAGTTCGGGATTGAAAGTGATTGCAACAAACTAAAATAGCAATATAAATCCTTACTCATAAATTTTAAAAAATATATATTGACCAAAAACTTGTAAGAAATGTCCCTGCATTCGAGTTTTAAACTATCAGCGTTTTATAACGGATATCTCTAAAAGAATTTGAGTAATAATTTCGATAAGTTGTGTCCAATGCCATTACATTTAAAATACTGTAAGGGCATTAAAATTCATGGTAAAAATTATATATGAGGTTATATGAAAATATGGACATATATACATAATTTGATCTTAGAGGTAATGGTAACCATTACGAGTCTCAAAAATTTCCATTGACAAATCCGGCTTGAGGTATTAAAATACCGAATATCAGAAGATTGTTTTTTAGTAATCGCGTTTTTATTAGTATACCCTACAACACTATGTGTAGGGATAATTATAAGTTTGATTGGGCTAAAAATTATGTAACACCCAGAAATATTGATATCTGTCATAGGAAACTATATATGGATTTTCCTATTTCGACGAGCTGAGTCGATTTCCGTCCGTTCATGTTCATTTGTAATCAAACTAAAAGTCGCAATTATGGCCCGATCCTAACGAAATTGAAAATTGAGGTGGGGTTTGGTCAGAATAGAACCATCGCTTTTGGAGGTGATCGGATTGAAATGGACCAAACACAGAAAAAATTCTTGATCTTGCTTTTGCTCTACAGACCACAATTATAGACCAATCGGCGGAATTTTTCATTGAACTAGAGTTTAGGACTGTGACAGAAGCGTACCAATTTGGATGGTGATCGGACCACATTTAGCGGGTAAAATAGACCAAAACTTTTTGTAAAAAATACGAAAATATCTACTAAACTTCGAATATTTTTAATCCCAGCGAAATCACAAATACACGAAAATGTCACTTCTGAGCCTTACATTGATGCTCCTATCCAAAATATCGCATATATAGCAAAATATATACAATCCCATATATGAAAGAAGAGGATGTAAGTTAGACCGCTCATAAGTCAAGAACCTCTGGACAATTCTCATCAACTCTGAATAGTCTCATGCCAGAAAAGATAAAATCTAAGAAAATCGCGAATAAATATGCCAGTACAAATATTTTTTGTTATTTTATTTTTAATGTTTGCCATATTTTTATCGCATGTGATTTTTTCAACTTGACATACAATTTTGAATTGTATATTTTCTAAAGTTTTTCTACACCCCCAACACAATGTGTGTAATATCTTATAGGTCGCAATTATCGTCAGATCCTTACGAAATTTTGTATGGGGTAGCGCTAGGGTCAGAATTAAAGCCTACTGTTATGGATATGTAAATTTGCAGTCGCTCTAAATGAGGAAGAGCGGGAAGTTACAGGGAAAAAGTTGAGCATTTTGGATTCTATTCAGCTGTAAAATGGACCACGACTCTTGCTAATTTTATTCGAGTACATAACAACATGGTGGAGTGCGTAAATAAGGGTAACATCTGGGCCGGACTCTATGACATTATTTAAAAATCAAAATTAATGAGGACATAAGGGGGCTTAAAACATATTGTAGTGTTGTAGGGTACCACATGGTCGGTCCTCACGAATATAGCCCTTGCTTACTTGTCATTAATGCTTATGAGTAACCATTTATATCATACTAATTTTGGAATTTTAATATATCGAACCTGTTGAAGAATAAAAAGCAGTTCGGTACACTCATTAAGCCATCTGCTGAAATATCCATTTCAGTTAACATTCTAATAAGCCGTCTCTGGAAGTAGCATAATTTTACTGAAAGTTCAATAAAAATTCTAACCCATCCAATTTGAAAATATTTTCTAAAATTCCAACAATGGCCGAAGAGACATAACAAATCGGACTTAGTTTGTTATTGCAATTGTTTTTCTTCCGAATTTATATTCACCCGCCTGCCAGACACTACTAAATATATATTTTCCCTACTTTACATGTATAATTCGTATATCCTGCGCCACCATCCATTCGTGCCACAGCAACAGACAGACCGTGAAGGTGGGCCGGATGGCCAGGAAAGCGAGAGTGGCGAAACAGAAAAGAGAACAGCTTCTGTTACAGTGTTACACTGCCTGTTATTATAATTTTTATCGTTAAACATTAGCATCATTTCCGAAATTATGTAAATTAAGCAAAACGATGGTGTAACGAGCGTTTTAGGTTTCCGTCTTTTAATTTCCGCATAGCATCATAAGCATATTTCGGGTAGAACTCCCAAAGCAAAGCAGAACAAAACAACAGTTTGTGCCCGGCACCGTATCCTTCGCGACGTTGACAGCACCACCATCCACCGCTACAATATGGGCCACCACCAACTTCGGCCGAAGTGAACTCAACAAAAAAGCCGTGTAAAGTCCGCGTTTCCATGCCGGTCTGCTAGTCTAGCTGGCTGTCTGCTTCTTAAAGTTATGAGACACAGCCACACGGTGTTTACCAATTCAAATTTTGACTCTGTAAAACCTTAACACCCTCGTTTTGGGGAATTCTCATTTGCAACAGGAAATTTTGGAAGTTTTCATGGTTCGCCTTTCATTGCGGCTCGCATTCTCATGTGATATTAAAATGCGTGCTCAACTACAATTTGTTTAGTTTCATAATTTTTGGCTAGCTGGCAGCGGCAAGACAAACCAAAAAGAAGACTGTCAGAAGGTTGGAAACTTGCACTAAAGTGCGAATACTGAAGAAAACAATTTCGCCATAACAGTTATTATAAATAAATATGTTCAAGACACTGACAGTCTGACATTGTATATTCGGCCACAAATGTGGGGAGGGGGAGTGGCTGGGCAAATATCTGTTTGACCGAGAAAATTAAGGCATCGCAGCAGCTCACATTCAACCGAACCCCCACACCGAGTCAGTGGGGGTTGTCGTTT